TCTCACCCCTCTCAGTCGTTACCCTCTCACACCTCTCAGTCGCTCCACTCTCACCCCTCTCAGTCGTTACCCTCTCACACCTCTCAGTCGCTCCACTCTCACCTCTCTCAGTCGTTACCCTCTCACACCTCTCAGTCGCTCCACTCTCACCCCTCTCAGTCGTTACCCTCTCCTCAGTCGCTCCCCTCACCTCTCACAGTCGTTACCCTCTCTCTCCTCTCCACTCAGTCGTTACCCTCACAGTCGTTACCCTCTCTCCTCTCTCTCTCTTTTTTAATCATTGTATTATTTATTCAGCTTATTTCCCCGGGAAAGCTTCTCTGTCTCATGGGTCTCGTGACCCTAGTGGTCCCGAGCAGGGCCTGCACCCGCACTTGCGGTTGTCGTGTTGGGTGAAGGACATCTTCTTTTTGCCTGCGCTGTGGAAAACGTTCAATTTGAAGACCTCGAGTGTGACGTTGGACTTGGCCGTGGGAAGGCACTCTCTCCTCTCTCTCTCCTCTCACCCCTCTCAGTCGCTCCACTCTCTCCCCTCTCACCCCTCTCAGTTGTTACCCTCTCCTCAGTCGCTCACCACTCACAGTCGTTACCTTCTCCATTCTCTCTTCTCCACTCACAGTCGTTACCCTCTCTCTCTCCTCTCTCTCTTTTTTTAATCATTGTATTATTTATTCAGCTTATTTCCCCGGGAAAGCTTCTCTGACTCATGGGTCTCGTGACTCCAGTGGTCCCGAGCAGGGCCTGCACCCGCACTTGCAACTGTCGTGTTGGGTGAAGGACATCTGCTCTTCGCCTCCGTTGTGGGAACCGTTCAATTTGAAGACCTCGAGTGTGACGTTTGACTTGGCCGTGGGAAGGCACTCTCTCCTCTCTCTCCTCTCACCCCTCTCAGTCGCTCCACTCTCACCCCTCTCAGTCGTTACCCTCTCACCCCTCTCAGTCGTTACCCTCTCACCCCTCTCAGTCGCTCCACTCTCACCCCTCTCAGTCGTTACCCTCTCCTCAGTCGCTCACCACTCACAGTCGTTACCTTCTCCATTCTCTCTTCTCCACTCACAGTCGTTACCCTCTCTCCTCTCTCTCTCACCCCTCACAGTCGCTCCACTCTCTCTCCCCTCTCTCCTCACAGTCGCTCCACTCTCACCCCTCACTCCTCGCAGTCGTTACCTTCTCCATTCTCTCCTCTCCACTCATAGTCGTGACCCTCTCTCCTCTCTCTCTCACCCCTCACAGTCGCTCCACTCTCTCTCCCCTCTCTCCTCACAGTCGCTCCACTCTCACCCCTCACTCCTCGCAGTCGTTACCTTCTCCATTCTCTCCTCTCCACTCACAGTCGTTACCCTCTCTCTCTCTCCTCTCTCTCTTTTTTTAATCATTGTATTATTTATTCAGCTTATTTCCCCGGGAAAGCTTCTTTGTCTCATGGGTCTCGTGACTCCAGTGGTCCCGAGCAGGGCCTGCACCCGCACTTGCAACTGTCGTGTTGGGTGAAGGACATCTGCTCTTCGCCTCCGTTGTGGGAACCGTTCAATTTGAAGACCTCAAGCGTTATTGTTGACTTGGCCGTGGGAAGGCACTCTCTCCTCTCTCTCCTCTCACCCCTCTCAGTCGCTCCACTCTCACCCCTCTCAGTCGTTACCCTCTCACCCCTCTCAGTCGCTGCACTCTCGCCCCTCTCAGTCGCTGCACTCTCACCCCTCTCAGTCGTTCCACTCTCACCCCTCTCAGTCGTTCCACTCTCACCCCTCTCAGTCGCTCCACTCTCACCCCTCTCAGTCGTTACCCTCTCACCCCTCTCAGTCGCTCCACTCTCACCCCTCTCAGTCGTTACCCTCTCACCCCTCTCAGTCGCTCCACTCTCACCCCTCTCAGTCGTTCCACTCTCACCCCTCTCAGTCGCTCCACTCTCACCCCTCTCAGTCGTTCCACTCTCACCCCTCTCAGTCGCTCCACTCTCACCCCTCTCAGTCGCTGCACTCTCACCCCTCTCAGTCGCTCCACTCTCGCCCCTCTCAGTCGCTCCACTCTCACCCCTCTCAGTCGCTGCACTCTCGCCCCTCTCAGTCGTTCCACTCTCACCCCTCTCAGTCGTTACCCTCTCACACCTCTCAGTCGCTCCACTCTCGCCCCTCTCAGTCGTTACCCTCTCACACCTCTCAGTCGCTCCACTCTCACCCCTCTCAGTCGTTACCCTCTCCTCAGTCGCTCCCCTCACCTCTCACAGTCGTTACCCTCTCTCCCCTCTCTCTCCTCTCCACTCAGTCGTTACCCTCACAGTCGTTACCTTCTCCATTCTCTCCACTCCACTCACAGTCGTTACCCTCTCTCCTCTCTCTCTTTTTTTAATCATTGTATTATTTATTCAGCTTATTTCCCCGGGAAAGCTTCTCTGACTCATGGGTCTCGTGACTCCAGTGGTCCCGAGCAGGGCCTGCACCCGCACTTGCAACTGTCGTGTTGGGTGAAGGACATCTGCTCTTCGCCTCCGTTGTGGGAACCGTTCAATTTGAAGACCTCAAGTGTGATGTTTGACTTGGCCGTGGGAAGGCACTCTCTCCTCTCTCTCCTCTCACCCCTCTCAGTCGCTGCACTCTCACCCCTCTCAGTCGCTGCACTCTCACCCCTCTCAGTCGTTCCACTCTCACCCCTCTCAGTCGCTCCACTCTCACCCCTCTCAGTCGTTCCACTCTCATCCCTCTCAGTCGTTACCCTCTCACACCTCTCAGTCGCTCCACTCTCGCCCCTCTCAGTCGTTACCCTCTCACACCTCTCAGTCGCTCCACTCTCACCCCTCTCAGTCGTTACCCTCTCCTCAGTCGCTCCCCTCACCTCTCACAGTCGTTACCCTCTCTCCCCTCTCTCTCCTCTCCACTCAGTCGTTACCCTCACAGTCGTTACCCTCTCTCCTCTCTCTCTCTTTTTTAATCATTGTATTATTTATTCAGCTTATTTCCCCGGGAAAGCTTCTCTGTCTCATGGGTCTCGGGACCCTAGTGGTCCCGAGCAGGGCCTGCACCCGCACTTGCGGTTGTCGTGTTGGGTGAAGGACATCTGCTCTTTGCCTGCGCTGTGGAAAACGTTCAATTTGAAGACCTCGAGTGTGACGTTGGACTTGGCCGTGGGAAGGCACTCTCTCCTCTCCTCTCTCCTCTCACCCCTCTCAGTCGCTCCACTCTCTCTCCTCTCACCCCTCTCAGTCGCTCCACTCTCACCCCTCTCAGTCGTTACCCTCTCCTCAGTCGCTCCCCTCACCTCTCACAGTCGTTACCCTCCCTCCCCTCTCTCTCCACTCACAGTCGTTACCCTCTCAGTCGTTACCTTCTCAGTCGCTCCCCTCACCCCTCACAGTCGCTCCACTCTCCTCACAGTCGCTACACTTTCTCCCCTCACCCCTCAGTCGATACCCTCACAGTTTCTCCCCTCTCCATTCTCTCCGCTCCACTCTCTCCTCTAGCCTCACAGTCGTTACCTTCTCCCCTCGCAGTCGCCCATTTGCCTCCCCGTGTGCTATCCTTTTTTTTCCTCTCTCTTTTTTACGATCAGTGGAAACAAGAAGATGCTCGGTGTATTCGGCACTTTGCTTCGTTCATCATTTCGTATTTTTTTTTTACTTAGCATTTATGTAAAACCAGAGCCGGCCCAGCCACTAAGCGACCCTTGCAATTGCAAAGGGCCCCGTGGCCAGCAGAGGGCCCCCTAGATTCACTGCTAGCGAGTGGGTGAAAAAAATCATACATCAAAGGGGCCTCCAACCAAATTTTGCTTAGGGCCCCCAAAGGTCTAGGGCCGGTTCTGTGTAAAACCTCCACCTCTCGCTCACTCTCTCGCTCACCCGTGTGCCCTCCTCCTCGTCGTCCTCGCTACTCTCACTCGAGCCCCCTCTGGCAGCCCACCCCTAGTCCATGGGCCTCTATCGATAGAACAGCAGCAGCAGCAGCAGCCACGACTGGTGCCGCGTGGACCCAACCGCAGCGCCACCGCTCCTCCTCCTTGTTCCTCCCCCAACTCGCTGCTCAGCAGCTTATTCCGCTGCGGTTGTTGATGTTTGCTAGCGAGAGGTGTTGTCGCTCCAGCTGTCGTCTCTCTGTGCTCGGCCCTTGCAAACCGCAGCTGCTTGCTGATGCTGCTGATTGATGTTGCTGCTGCAGCTGCTTGCTGATGCTGCTGATGTTACTGCTGATGCTGCTGCTGCCACTTCCGCAAATGTCCCCGGCCACTGAATTTTTCGCTGAAGCCGCCTGCGTTTAGCAAATTTCCCGCTCGCTGCTGCTGCTGCTGAGACGCAGTTGCCTGCTGCCGTGAGCTGTGTGGGGTAGCCGCTGCCAGCATCAATCCCGTGGTCTCGTCAGGGTTGTTGGCTGTCAATGTCGTGTGGGCTCCTTACTGCTGCTGCTGCTGCTACTGCCAGGACACAGGGTGATGGTGGAGTCTGTAGTGGTTCAGGAGCGTGAGCCGTCTTCTCCCTAACCACTGCTAGGGATGTTGGCGAATCTTGCCGTTATAGCGCTCATTTATTGAACTCGTTTTCACTTAGAACTGCTTCGTGCGTTTAGTTTGGTGTCCTTTCCCCCCACCCCGCACCTCCGTTGTGCACGGTTGGCTACGTACGGTGCAAAAGAAGTTCAACATAAATCGTGCTTTTGCGCCTAATGCAATCACACTGCAGTGTTGATAGTAGCTGCTGCTGCTAGTGGGATGCTGTAGCTCACAGAGGGTGGCTGTTCCTGACAGTATTCCTTATAGAATCTTATAGACTGCAGAATAAGGTGGTGGTAGCTACTGCTAAGAGATAGTGCTCCTGCTAAGAGATAGTGCTCCTGCTAAGAGATAGTGCTCCTGCTAAGAGATAGTGCTCCTGCTAAGAGATAGTGCTCCTGCTAAGAGATAGTGCTCCTGCTAAAAGATCCTCTGCTACTACCAGAACGTGATCATTGTGTGGATGGTGGTAGCTGCTACGGCTAGTGGTCACCCCTGCTCATGCCACTAGCGCTCTTCAACAGCCCTGTGCAAGATTAGCGGTGGCTGCTGCTGCTGTTGTTGAATCGCCATGGTGGAGGGTCCTGGGTGCACGCTGAACGGAGAGAGGATCAGGGTCAGGGTTCGCGTCTCCCAGACGGTGCTGAGCACGAGGACAGCGGCATCTGGAGTTGCAGTCCAGCACCACCAGCAGCAGCAGCGCGTGAGTTCCTACAACTCATCCAGGGCCGACGAGAACAAACACTTTGACCACGTGATAATTGTTTTTTACCCTTTTATTTGGCAACAAGACTGACACCTTTTTTACAAGGTGTCATGTTTGCATTGACCACAATAGCTGCGGTCGGAATGCAAACAAAAAACATAACTCTGATAATGTATGCACTGTCCTTGAAATTGATTGGTCCACACCCGAGACGGCTTTTCTTAGAGCCTCGTCTCACATGGTGTTGGACCAGATGACACCAAGAGGCGCACAACTCAAAGACAATGAACCATCAGAGTATGAGAGCTCGGGATAAGCATTTACACTATTGGAACCTCATTTGCCAGTAACAAAATATGATAATTGTTTTTTTACCCTTTTATCTGTCAAGACTGACACCTTTTTTACAAGGAGTCATGTTTGCATTGACCACAATACCTGCGGTCGGAATACAAACAAAAAAACTCTGAAAATGTATGCACTGTCCTTGAAGTTGATTGGTCCACACCCGAGACAGCTTTCCTTAGAGCCTAGTCTCACATGGTGTTGGACCAGATGACGCCAAAAGGCGCACTTTGACCATGTGTTTTGTTTGTATGTATGATTAACAAAAACACGTTTAACCAAGGTATCTTCTTGAATAAATATATTTGTAGAGTAAGGATAAGCAAATAATATATAGAAGAGGTAGAGTCGTGTCAATATCAATCGTTTTTTTCATAAGGTGAGCGAAATTAACACCGGAGATTAACTTTTCGAGATTTCTTTAAATTGCAAAATTTACATTTTCCAATGGTGTTTTTCGCACAATCAAGCGAGTGCCTTGGGCCTACAAGAACCTTAATCCGGCCACTGAACTCATCCTCATGCATTGCACTGTTTTCGATTCACAGCCCGGCACAACGCATCCAGTTCACACCTCTCGATAATGCACTGCGGCTACTGCAGTCACGTGCCACCATCCGATTTACTTGGCCACACAACGTAGGCCAAGCCTCGACTGTCTGGTATAACCAGGCAGTCAAGCAAACGAGTAATCACCAGGCTGAAACCTGCTTAGCTTTTCCCAATACCTCTTAACCTCCTCAATGGCGTGGCGTGGTTGGTATGGGCACCTAGTGGAAGTAAACTAAACAATTTATTTTTTATTTTACCAGGTAAGAGCCACTGGGATATATTGCTCTTTTCAGAAGCGACCTGGCCATAAATGATCACGCAAACGAAGTGGTTTATCATCATGTGGAAATTCATTGCAGGCAAATACTCCAAAACTCATGTTGATTCTAAATGTGGAGGGACAAGCCGGAGGACCCAGGGAAAGAGACGTACAAACTCCAAATATACAGACGTCAGGGTCGGGATCGAACCCACTACCTCCTTCATATCAGGCGAGGGAGTTAACATTTCACCACCGTGGCGAGATGAAGACCCGTGAAATGAGGGCCTCCTGTCCAGTTCTGCCCCCGCCCGGCCCGCTCGGCTCTTCGTAGTCCGACACCTGGACTCCGGTGCAGTTGCACCGCCTGTACACACTATAGCTGCATTACTGCACCTTTACACTGAACAGTGGCGTTCGTTCGCACTCGAAAGCCAAACACGAACTCTGTTCCCAATGCTCCCCGTGTCTCTTTCTCAGCCGTGCCAGGCGGCCGCGCAGGGCGCAGCAGCAGGAGGAGGAGGGTGGTGCCCAGCCGGGCAGCTCTCAAGCCTCACGGGGCAGCAGTACACGGGCGTGGAGACCCTGGGCAAGGAGCTGTTCCTCTACTTCAAAGAGAGCGCACTACGGTAGGCACTGCCAGGGCTGCAGCGATAGTGGTGGGGGGGGCAGGTGGGGCAATTTGCCCCTGGCTTCGGAGACCTCAGAAAGGGCCAAGGAGGGGGGGGCCCTCGTCTGGAATTTTGTACTGAGCCTCCAAAAATCTTCCTGCCACCCAGGGGACCGACTACACCTTGGGCCTGTTGGGAGTGGCAGGTGGGTTGAGGTCGTTTCCTGCAGAGAGAAAAAAAAGATAACTTATACAAGCTCACGGTCCAAAAATGTGTTTTTTGAGAGGAGACGTTACATTAATAGATTGTGTGAATTATTAAATAAATTGCGTGGGGAGATGGTACAATGAAACGTGCATTATTTTAGAAATTCTTTGTCAATGTTCCATGTTTCTGATCCATTTTGTCATAGCAGTTAGTATACATGAATTGAAATGTGCTCTCAATTTGAATAATTTTAATACCAAACTGCCTTTCATAATTTTGCTTGGAATACACATTGTGGCGTGTTTCTCGGTAGTGTACCTCCAGCAATGTCCGTTACATAATCTATGCACATGCTAGATTTTTACCAACTCACTGTACAGTATCACGATAAAGCCTCTGCTGTAAGTACCAGTGCAGTAGCAGAACAGCAATAACAGCCACCATAAGTGCCGGTGACGTCACCACGGCGCTTGTGCCAGGCAAGGTGCACTTTGATGCTACGTCAAGTGTGGAAGGTTCGCTGGCAGGAGGTTACAGGACAGACCAAGGTTGTTGAGTTGACTGAGACGATTGACAGATGCACTAGCTGTGCTTACGATTAGATCTCACACACACTGCAGTGTTCGTTCAACTTGGCGCTCTCCCACACAGGGTGCACTTCGGCATGAATGGTTCCATGAGAATCAACCCTGGAGCCGACGGCCAGACTCGGCGTCCACCCGCCCTGGAAGTCGTCCTCAGCAGCGACCGCATCGTCTTCTACGACTCCACCTTTGATATCAGGTGCTGACGCAGACCTCGTCCTACGGGGGATTGACAAAAGGGCTGCCCTGCATGTGCTGACGCTGCTAAAGACGGTGGGCAGTAGAGGGCGTGTTCACTTCTGAGCGACGAGTCAAGGATGGCTGCTGGAGCGGAGGGTGCATGGAGGCAGGCAGAGGGAGATTATCGGGGAGGTAGGAGAGTGCGTGAAGGGGAGTAGATTGAGATTAGAGGGGAGAGGTAGAAAAGTGCGTGGAGGGGAGTAGAGTGAGATGAGAGATGAGAGGTAGGAGAGTGCGTGGAGGGGAGTAGAGTGAGATGAGAGGAGAGAGGTAGGAGAGTGCGTGGAGGGGAGTAGAGTGAGATGAGAGGGGAGAGGTAGGAGAGTGCGTGGAGGGGAGAGGTAGGAGAGTGCGTGGAGGGGAGTAGAGTGAGATGAGAAGGAAGAGGTGGAAGAGTGAGTGGAGCGGAATAGAGTGAGATGAGAGGTAGGCGGTACAAGTTCATGGAGAATCTTGAAGGCGTTGGGTGCGATCTTAAAATTGATCTGGGATTGCATTGGGAGCTAGCGGAGAAGTCGGAGTATTGGGGTGACGTGATCTTGGTTACGGATGCGGGTGAGAAGTCTGGCAGTGGCATTTTTGATTGTCTGGAATTTGAAAAAAAATTACTGATTTGGAGAGGACCCAGAGGCACTCGTGAACAGGCACTTTCCCCGCAGCAGCCCAGTCTGTAGAACCCTGGGACCGTTGTCTTTGCGCGAAACCGTAGGTCCGCCGAAGCGTGTCGCGAGCGTGTACGGGCGCGGGGAGACCTGGACGTGTGCTCGAGACGGTTCGACGTGGAGAGGGCCTGCACGGAACTGGGGGCCCACGCGGGCCGCATGCTGTGCGACGTGCTGCTCGATCAGGCGCTGCTGCCCGGCGTCGGCAACATCATCAAGAACGAGGGGCTCCTGGACAGCGGTCTCCACCCAGCCATTACGGTGAGAACAGGCGGCGGAAGAACCACAGAAGCCTTTGGCGTCGCCGCCGCTTCTTGTTGGGCATTTCTCAACAGTTTTTTTTTCAAGGCGCACATGCCACAGTGGTGGCATTTAAGAGCACCCGGAGAAAGCGAAGCAGAGTTTCAGGCTGGTTGGTAGGTCATCGTGAGGCTATCTGGTAACACCAGGTGGTGTATCCTTGAGGCTATGGTGGCGGCGGCGGCGGCCACGAGATGGCAGCTCAATAATTTAATTATTGAATCCATGAGTGGGTTGGCATGAAGGGGGCAGTATTTCTCACCGAATACTTTCTGGGTCACTGACAGACTGGATGAGGTGGCACAGGAGCCATAGCGAGTTGTATACTGGACGTGATGTGCCGGGTGCAGAGATATTTTCTGGGACACTGACCCCGGAAACAATGAAGCCCTGAACTCCACTTTTTGAACTTTCACGAATTCGAGATTGGTGGCTAATGTGAGAACATTTTTAATATTTAGCATATTGCCGCCATAGAATGTGCGAAATGATGCCTGCTTCGTTAATGTCTCGTATTCTTAAACCTTAGTCCATCTTGCCTGTAAATTGTTCCTGGAGAAAAACTAAAGACTCCTACACTGTGAATGCCTGGAGTCTAATCAAAACACACTTCCACTTGGTCGAGAATGATGGTGCTTCGCCATTTATTCTGGCAACTCATGAGTGCAATTGCCTTTGTGCAAACACATACTGTTGGTGTTTTTAAACGGTAAGATTACTTTTCTTTTGTTTTGTTTTTATATACTTAAAACAAAGTTAAGTCCATAGCTAATCCACTCCTGTATGAACGCCTGCCCATGCCATGTTGGTCATGCAAATTTGTTTGACCAGACTTCACCTCACTGGTCAGTCATGCAGGTTTGGTGAAAGTAGGTGCCCAGAACGGATTTAGATATCACTCGTCACTGATGTCATCCGTGGCTTCACTTGACCATTAATACTCTCTTTGTTGCTTTTGTGATGTTCTTTTTTTTTTTCAGGTGAGCCAACTGAGCTTGGAGCAGATCAAACACCTCGTGAAAATGACCAGGGATTTCTCTCTGCTTTTCTATCAGGTGGGGTCCTGGTGGCAAGCAACAAACAAATCACCGATTCACCAAACCCAGCACTTACTCATCATACGGGGGCGCACAACACACCGACTGCACACCTATGGATAGTTTAGATCAGGGAGTCGACAACCTGTGGCTCCGAAGCCGCATGCGGCTCTTTAAGTGACTGCTTCGTGACCGTTATTTACTAAGGAACGCCACCGTCTCGGATTCACCCACAGTGCATTGCGACTCAGTGTTTTTTATACTGAATACGAAAAAAATGTATCTTGTTATTTTGGTTGCCGACCCCTGGCTTTTTGTACATAACAACACGTGAATAATTTTGAGCCCTTCATCAAGCCCGCTGTTGCATGAAAAGGTTTCCCACGCCGATAAGTCATTGGGGTAGTATAACCATACTTTACCAAGCTGGTCACGGCGGACAATATTCATTTAATTAGCGAGCCATGTCAAGTGAATGCCATAAGCCCTGCGAAGCGAAGTTCGCAGGCTGTTGGAAGTGAACTCCACAGGCCACGTGAATGAAGTCATTGGCAGTATAAAATTAAGTCGAGGGTCGTACGAAATGAATTCGTGAGCAGTACAAAATTAAGCTACGGGCCGAAATAAACAAAGTTTGCGGGGCATACGTAATGAAGTCGTGGGCCGGTGAAGGTTCTCCACTGCCGATATTGACGATTCGCTTCTGTTACCCAGTGCCGGAAGACGGGCGCGGCGCTGCAGAAGCACTGCAGGGTGTACAAACGCAGCGCGTGCGGGCAGTGCCGGACCCGCGTGGTCGTGTGCCGGCTCGGGGAGAATGGGCGCATGACGTACTTCTGCCCAAGCTGCCAGCACGAGGATCCACGGCACGTCGACCCCAGGTAGCGAGGGTCCCCCGTTTCAAACCCCGGCGAGGTGTCGTCACCGTCACTTCGATAACACTGGTCAAAAAAAAAAAAAACCCTTTTTTTTCTGGCCTGGACTTTTGCAGCTGTTTTAGACTAATTTGAGGGTGCCGATTCCAAATCTGATCTCAGATTTGCTCTATCACATCTAATTTTTATGCTATCGGCATACCCCATTTTCATTGATTTTACCCAAAATTAACTCTGTCACTTATGATTGCAAGTTGTTGCGAGTCAGTGACTGCTTTAGTGTTAAAATATGGTGCTGTATTTTTAGGATAGTGTGTTTATAATATCATTTTATGTAGATATCCACATTTATTTAATATTTTTCTTCTGCAGTTTTTATTGAAAATTCAATATTTGACATCTCAAAAACCTGATGTGATAGAGAAAAACTGATGCCAGATTTGGAATCAGCCCCCCCCAAAATTACCTTAAAACCGTTGGAATACCTTACGCCAGAAAAAGTGTGTTGACCAGTGTAATTAACGAGTCGTCAAACGCACGCTGATTTCGGTATGCGATGGTCTAGTTCAGGGGTCGGCAACCTACGGCTCCGGAGCCGCATGCGGCTCTTTACGGGCTGCTTCTTGACGATATATACGTATGTACAGTATGTACATAGATGCATTGCGGCTCTTGAAATACTGAATTTTGTACCGAATTGGAAAGAAATGGCTCTTCTTGTTATTTTGGTTGCCGACCCCTAGTCTAGTTGAAGAACTCTGCTGTAAACTCCCGATGTTTCCCCCTAAACAGCAAACTGCAGCACAGAAACAACAGCCTTCTGGCCTGGGTGCAAGGAGGCAGGCCGGACACCACCGAGGTCGGCAGGCAGGACGTTGCGTCGCGAGCCGAGGAGGAGTGGGCCTGCGCCGTCTGCACGCTCGTCAACTGCGGCTCCGACGCGGCTTGCGACGCCTGCCTCACCCAGCGACCTCCCCGTGCGTCGCCACTCCGCCGTGGCCCTTCGCTCACGAACACTTTGTGCTTTTTAAATCCTTTATATTAAGTTAGCTCGTTTGCTTGCTTGCTTGCGCGCTTACGACCGTGCAAATCTTTCGGTCGTTTTTTATTTAAATCTTTTATATTAAGTTCACTTGCGCGCTTGCTTGCGCGCTTACGACCGTGCAAATCTCTCGGTCGTTATTTATTTCAATCCTTTATATTAAGTTCGCTTGCTTGCGCGCTTACGACCGTGCAAATCTTTCGGTCGTTTTTTAACCCACTTCTCGTGATCCAATCGAGCTGACATTTTCCACACAGACTCATTGTGCGTGACAATTAATTTTCGTGAAAAACAATTTGCTAAATTTGACACTTTTTAGGAACATTTTTTATTTATTTAATTACCAATTGCTTAATGCTGCCAGGCAATCATCTGACCCATAGGTGGCAGCCATCTCAAGCCAGAGGACGAGAGGACTCTAGCCGCCACGCATATAAAGGATTTATAGTGAAAAACTTTTGTTTTTACGGGTTAATTTTTTCGTTTTCAGCCTCTTGTGCCGAATCTTTCAACGTCAAGTTTGAACGTTTGTTGCAGCTTTCCAACGAAGGTTAAAAGCGAATTATCGTCGGCTCTGTGTGTCCATCTGTCTATAACAAGCGGATATGATAACGCGCGCAACAATTATCCAAAGTTGCGTTGCTATTAGGGACATGCCCCAGAGGAAAACTGTCCAAATTGATCGAAGAATTAACCAATACTTGGGAGACCAAAGCTAGAGCTAAAAGGACCACTTGCAGTTCTGCAAACCTGATAAGTCTAATGCAAGTATGTGGCATGCTTTGGTAAGAAAGATCCCTGACAGCCACGTGCGTTGGCTCCCGTATTGCTAAGTAAATACTTCCGAGAACATACGCACGTTGTAAACCGATCGATGATTCGTGATTTATTCTCACTTATTTTACACCTGGAGCTCGTGGGAAGTCAACCGTAGTTTACCTATGGCCATATTCACAGGCGACGTTCACCACCTTGTGCTCGTTTGAGCAGAAAAGCACGCAGACATTTTTGTATGGGTTGGGTTGGTTGCTTTTGAGTTCTCATTTTAAGATGACGTATTACCGTTCCTGTGCAGCGGAGCCTCAGGCAGACTGCACGGAGCACTGCTCCACGCTGCATGACGACCGTCTCATGCTGTACCCGTGCAACGCCTTCCCACGGCCGTGCGTGGTGACCAAAGTCAACCGACGCACGGCGTTTGGCACGGCCACGCTCATCATCACCTCTCCTGGGTTGCCCCCTGGCCCTCCCGCGCGGGACGCCCCGTTTGGGGCAGGGGGCTCGTCGGACTCGCGCCAGGTAAAGAGTTCTGCGGGGAAATCGAAGCTTCCCATCACCTCCAGAAGGTAGACTCAAAACTAAACCAAGTGCGCAAAATATCATGCCAAAACGTGTGGATTACTTGGCGCTTTCCAACGTGTGTTTGTCTTTGAAAGTATTAAACTGAACTATATTATAGAAACGAAACTTTTTATTTTACCAGGGAAGGCCCACTGAGCTGTATAGCTATTTTTTCAAAACGGGCCCCACATGATAGCTGAACGAAGTGGCTTATCACGTGCAAATTTATAGCAGCCAAGTACTCTGAACGCACGTTGATTCTAAATGTGGAGGAGGGAAAAAAACTGAGGACCCGGAGAACATTGAAACTCCAAATATACAGCAGGCGTCGGGATCGGGATGGAGCCCACGAGCTCCCACGAGCTCCTCCATACCAGGCGAGGTAGTTAACATCTCGCTACTGTGAGCAGGATACAAGTTGGCAGGCAGCTGTCAGGTTAAAATTCGTCTATTTAAAAAAAAATCCTTTTAGCTCTGGTTTGTGCCTCTTGAATTTGATTAATATGCTCGGTTTTCAATCTGGTAGGTCCCTAATAGCAACACAACTTCATAGTTAAGTGCTGTTCATATTGGTTATCATTCAAGAGTTGTTTGTACCACCCACCATTACAGATGGAGCCATAGAGTCATCGCTTCCGACCATAGTTGACGATCGTTAAACAATTCTCCATTCACCGCTAAAGAGTGTTCAGTAAAACGAATTACATACATCATATCAACAGAGCCCTAACCCAGAAGTGATTTGTTCTGTGCACAGGCGGTGAGCTGGAATGAAGGTGCGAATTCCAGAAGCCCTCTGAAAACAGCCCCACGCACACCCGGAGCGGTTGCTCCATTCCATGCCTCCCAAGCATTTAAGAGATTCAAGCCCGACTCTGTGGACAGGACACCCAACAATCGCGGCCAAAATTCCGGGTACGGTAAGCTTGTGAAATCGACCGCATTTGAACACATGATCCTGCACCTACATCCGGAACCTGCAGCATGAAAATGGGTTTCGTTCCAAACCATGATCACACGAGGAGAAACGGCTCACGCCATATTTGTCCGCGCAGCAAGGATCTTGGCCGCACTAATCGGGTAATGCAGAGGGGAATGTTTCTGACGGTCACAACACCGCCGTTTCTAATTTTAGAGTGCTCGGTCAGTTAGGTCACCGACTCTTGATAATTACAGAAGTAACTGAGATGTGTGTTAGTGTGTGATTACCAGCGAAGGGCATTTGAAAGTTGCATTCAACTTTCAGGAAGGATTACATTTCCCCAACCAGAGTTAGGACAGATTTTTTTTAACTATATAACTTCAGAGGTTTCATGCCGTTGTGCTGTACATCACAACCGTGAATTCGGTTCCTGAAAAAGCTGCCAGGTCATGGAGCAAAAAAGTCAGATATCGTCACCAATCAACACACAATGCGATCCAAATCATATTGGAGAACTGATGTGTGTGTATATATATATATATGGGTGGAGGGTTAAAGTTTTGGTACTGTCACCTCTTACAAAGTAAAACTATCTTATTTTACCAGGTAAGGCCCACTGAGCTATATCGCTCTTTTTAAATCCTTTATATTAAGTTCGCTTGCTTGCTTGCGTGCTTGCTTGCTGACGACCGTGCAAATCTTTCGGTCGTTTTTTAACCCACTTCCCGTGATCCAATCGAGCTGACATTTTGCACACAGACTCGTTGTGCGAGACAATTAATGTTCGTGAAATTTTTTTTCCAAAATTTTACAGTTTAGGGAAAACGAATTAAATATTTAATTACCAATTGCTTAATACTGACAGACAATCATCTGACCCATAGGTGGCAGCCATCTCAAACCAGAGGACGAGAGGACTCTAGCCGCCACGCGTATAAAGGATTTATAGTGAAAAACTTTGTTTTTACGGGTTATACTTATTCAGAAGTGATCTGGCCACGAATTATAGCTCAACGAAGTGGCTTGTCCTGTGGAAATTTCTAGCAGCCAAATACTCTAAAACGCGTGTTTCTAAATGTGGAGGGAAAAGCCGGAGGACCCGGAGAAAAATCCACACGACCACGGAGAGAACATACAAACTCCATATATACAGCAGGCGTCAGGGTCAGGATTGAACCCACGACCTCCTGTATACCAGGCGAGGTAGTTAACATCTCATAGCCACCGTGGGTCCAGCTTTGAATAGGCCAAAATACCCCGTAGCTGCTTACAGTGGAGGGCGCTTCCGTCACCTGGGGTGTGAGCAAGCAATTTGAGGGCTGTACCTTTCGCCTTCCTAGAGCATCAATTCTAAGCCACCGCGCGTTTTCCTGGCAGTGAAATCCCCGATGCGAGCGGGGCAGCGGCGCGAGATGGCACCGTGGCACGCTGCAGGGGCCACGACCGCCCATGCGCGCTGCGCGTCGTGCAGAAAGCCGGGCCCAACAGGGGCCGGCACTTCCACGCCTGCGCCCTCCCGCAGAAGCAGCAGTGCCAGCACTTCGAGGTGAGCCACTTCTGGCCGAGCTGCGGGAGATCTCGCGCTCCGCCGCTGACAGCTCAACCTGGCTGTCGTCTTTAATGGGGGTTGCTGGTGGTGTGATCTGTGTGTGGTTGTGTATGTGTCTGTAGGGCCACTCACCCCCTCGTGTGCCATTCTGGACTTCAATGGTGCTAACAGCACTTGACCCAAATGTACATTAACACTATATGGGTGATCTTTGTCTTTGTGCAGTGGGCCGACCTGCACTTCCCAGAGTGCGATCACGGCCTGCGCTGCGTCATGCGCACCGTCCTCAAGCTGGGCCCCAACAACGGACGCAACTTCTACGCCTGCGCGCAGGGGCGCGACCGCCAATGCGCATTCTTCCAGTGGGCGGACGGGGCACCTGGCGCACACACCTTGCCCGGCTGCTAAAAGGGTTTGTCTCCGAGCAGTCCAGAATTACCTGGCAATAGGGCACCACGGTGGCGAGATGCTCACAACCTCAGGAGGTCGTGGTTTCGATCTCAACCCCGACGCCTGTAGATTTAGAGTTTGCGTGTTCTCTCTGTGGTCGCGTCGATTTTTCTCCGGGACTTCCAGTTTTTCCCTGCCACATGTAGTAACATGCGCTTAGAGTATTCGGCTATAAATGTCCACATAAGCCCCTTCGTCGAGATATAATGTGGCCAGGTTGCTTCTGAAAAAGAGCTATATTTCGCTCAGTGGACCTTACCTAGACAAACATTTTTTTATATACATGCACAGTCATGTTATCAATTCACTGCCGGACGGGGGCTTCCCTGTGCCGTGGAGCTCGTGAGGGTTACCGTTTTATACGGAGTACAGGGCGTACTTTGTTTTCCATCCTGTATTTTACATGTTTGGGTGTGTGCCTTTGAATCCAGTGTGCTTGTCCAGAATTGTCTAGACCCCAGGCACACATGTGGGATGCGTCTCTCCGAAGCGTATTATAATCTTGAGTACAGTATTTGACCACGCTTCACTACTCTGGTTAGTGCGGGTTTGCGACGGTGCGTAGCGCGGCAAGTCATCGTTTATCGCGGTAGATGCATTCCCGAAAAGTTCCGTGTTAAGCGAAAATATCCCCATAATGCAACAATAAATATTTGCCCAGATACGATGTACGCAGTCAGATGCTGTCATTACGGTGCGCGTTCAGTGTTGCGCGAAACGTGTTCGCGAATTAATGGCGTAAGAGCGAAAATGCGTTGCGTTCACTCATTTAGCAAGGATTTACCTGCGGTATAGTACCATGGATTTGACTGCACTGCCCCCTGTTGACAGTATAAAATGTAAGGACTGAAAAGACCAGTTGGGATGATGGATACACGAGTGCAGCTCAGTTACAAATGGACTCCCGGTTTTTATGAAAATTCACCGCATCTCGGGTAACACCGCCACCCTCCTTCCCAACTAACAGATCCCCTGATGAATGGTACATTCCTAAAGACGCAGTCACCTTGAAGCCCTGGGGAGTGTCAAGCACCGCGATGCAAGGCTAATTTGAAGTGAGCAGTCTAATCGACCCATTTGTTTTATTTTGAGCAAAGTTGTGTTGTCTGGCATTGCTCAGTGTTGCCTGTGGCAGCACTATAGAGCCGTGTTTTATTCTTTCGAGTTGCTTTTTGTAATACCCGCTTGACTCTACGCTGTTGCTGTTAGACGTGCTGTTTATACGACCTGCCTCTTGGAGAATGAGTTATGAATTCACTTTTGATGCTCGATCTTGCCATATTACATCCGATGCCCACGGCAAACTAAATTTGTACACCCAGCCACGGCGCGCACTCATGCCTCTTGTTTTACATTCCGTAATGGAGGTTTTCCTGAACGTTTGTAATCTGAGAAAAATGTTCCAATTGCAATTGGCTCCCATTGATACAGAATGCTGACGCATCCTGTGCGCAGTTTCCCAGCGGTCGGCGCAAATTTGGAGCTCATGCGACCGATTATTTTTCTCCCAGTTGGACGCATGGGGCAGTATTAAACCACAGCATCATAAATTATGGTAAAAGCACAGCCCTGTAATTATTTGCTCATGCCACTGTTGGTGGAAGCGCTTACAATAGAAAGCTCTAGAAAGCCTCCTTTGTGGATACTTAGACCCATTCTTTCACGCAGGCAAAACTTCTTGGAAGAGGTGAGAATATCCACACTTTACCCCGCCACATTGGCTGTGGTGTACCCATTTATATTGCTGTGTGGAGAAACGTGGATTTAAGAAATTGGCTTATTGTTTCAGCTGCCACGCCGGGAGATCGAACCATTGACCTCTTGGTGGTTACAAGTCCAGTGTGCTGACCATTACACCACGGCAGCATCCAGCGTGTCAATCCATTTAAATGTGTGATAGCTTACTTTGTGTGTGTGTAAAACCAAGACGTGCATTAAATAAAACCGTTTATTTAAAGTCTCTTTACACATTGTAAAACGTTTTACACCCACCTCTGTCTCCAGGAGATGGGGGCTTAGTAAAGTCTTTCCACGAGGAAAAGCTGCTTAAAATAACACGAAGAATGAAGACGTCAGTAGAAAAGAGATTTTTTAAAAATATGTTTGTTTAGTTTACTTCTCATCGCCAAAAATATTGATAATTAATTTTGTTTCCCAGTCAACCCAGTAAAGCTTCTTGGATCATGTGCTTATTTTTTTTTGTTATAGAAGTCCCATTTATTTTTAAAGGAAAATTACAGACAGTTTTACTTTTGGCATTCAAGAGAGATGGGAGGTGTGACGGGCAAGTTAGGTTTGTTTTTCCAATTGTGAAATTCCCTTTGCGTACAGAAAATGGGGTTTTGGCTAAAGAAGCAAGGTGAGAAGCCAGCCAATCACAACTAATTGTAGAATCACACAAGATTCAGACCTGGGACACCAAAAACAAATGACTTATTTTCTTAAATGTCAAACTCGGGGGAGGAGTGGGGGGTTCCAAAACAACCCCGTAAATTCCCACGCATTCCTCCGGGGAGGTTTGATGAGAACGTGCGACGGGCCCGTCGCTCAGGAGACCGGAGGGACCCCTCCTGTGGTACAGCTGTGCCGCTAGACTTGGGTGCAGCTAGAGGCCACAGTGAGGAAGCCATTAGGGATAGGGCAATTTCCCGTCTTTGGCTGTGCTTGCTCCAGCACAGCAGTTGGCTCGCTGGTGTTTTCAAACAGTGATTATCCAAGTTACATATACCGTAGCGCTGTCTTCTCTCCTGGAGCGATGGCGATGTTATCCCTCTGGTTGTGGTTAAAGTGTCACGCACCTGCCAACATTTGACGTGAACGGATGTCAATGAAATCAACTCACGTGCCGACACGGGATTAATTGTTACATCATAGGATCGTGAGAGAGATGGCGATGGCTTGGCGAGACTTTCATCCACCAGTGCATTGATCGTGTCCGATGATGATAATGGTGTCGATGGAGGGACAAGCCTCGCGGAAGGCTCTGATAAAAGCAGCGCTATTCTTCTGTAGTAGAAGAGTGGGTGATGGCGGCTTCCTCGATATCGAGGTACAAGCCTCAGACTCCAAAAGTCCCGGATTTCAGCATCATCCTTGTCTCCTCCAGCCTGCTCAGACACCACACAACGATACGACGACCACTCTCCGTCACGTGTCACAAACATACCGACTTGCTTTGTAGGAAGCACGGCAAACATTTGAACAGACTGTCAAGGTTTGTCTCTACGTACATTCTTTCCAAGCGCTCCACTTGTGGTTTTGCTTTTTCCAACGACATTGAAAGTATCTGCAAACATACAACACTTAATTAACTTAACAATGGTTACTAAAGATGCGCGTTTATTTCTACTCAATAACTTCGTATCTTTCTTCTTATTCACGAATACAATCGGCACCAATCAACACATTTCAGTCTGAGTCATTCATCAGACGTTCTCACATCTCTGTTGCATTTAAATGTGTCGATTATCCCACCAGCTTCATTTTACAGTATGGTAACTTCATTATACCATTGGACATACTATTGGGCATAACATTGCAACAGCGACAGACATACTCTTGGGGAAAATGGAGAAACACAAATATGGATGAATCGAACAAACTAAACTAAAACTAAGCTTTAAGGCCTACTGAGCCATACAGCTTTTTTTTCAGAAGCGACCTGGCCACAAATGATAGCCCAATTAAGTGGCTTATCGCGTAGAAATTTATAGCAGACATACTCTAAACGCATGTTCCTAAATGGAGGGAAAAACCAGAGAATAATCCACGCAACCACAGGGAGAACACGCAAGCTCCAAATATACAGGCGTTGGGGTCGGAATCGAACCCAAGACCTCCTGTATACCGGGCGAGGTAGTTAACGTCTCGCCACCACGGCACTCTAAAATTCGACCAAAATTAAAACTCGTGATCGGAGATCACAGAGCAGCGGCGTGCCTATCTGCCCACCTGGTCATTGCTTTTGCGGAGCGGGTCCCGCTGCTCCCCGCTGCCCTGAGTGGGCACGAGTCCCTCCACGGGACACAGGGACGTGGACGGCTCCACCAGGACGGACACGGGCCCAGCGCCAGGCGGCACGGGGGACCCACGGTCTTCGAGCCCTGCCGGAAAACATGTATCCCACGACGGCAAGGCGTTCTCACAAGCCTCTCGGTAGGTTTGGCCCACGCGTCGGGCTTGGCGACATGCCAAGCACGGAGAGGGCCAAGAAAATAAAGAAATAACTTCTCGGAGAGGAGGACGGAGTAAGGGTGCTTTATGGACGCGATCGTCAAGAGTTTGTGTCGGGCTCTCGGGTCGGTTTCGTTGTCGGCAACGCAAAAACAAACCGCTCCTTGCGAGGGTTCAGTAACCTCCTTACCAAGGGCCCGTTTTTACCAAACTCCCATTTGAACATGTGAAACTAATTATCGCAACAGTACAAAAGCACTCTCGTTCCGATGCTGATTTTCAAAACCGTTTTGTTTTTTTCCTTTAATCACAAATCCAACTATATGGTAATTATAGTTGTATGGAAAGGACACATTCTACGTGCGTTTCAAGTTGTCTTCACTTTATTCCTACATTTGTGTGTAAAAAAAAAAGGCACCTGCAGAGAAGAGCTTGGACACTCGGGCAGTCCCAGGTGCGTCGCCACTGCTTGATGCACTGCCACGTGATGCATCGCCACGTGATGCATCACCACGTGATGTGCCGCGCGGCTGAAGAGTGAGGACAGGGGAGAGAGTCATCAAGGGTAGCACAGCCGGCCCATCCTCGCAGCGAAAAAACAACGACCACCGCAACCAGCAAGACCACTTAGCAGCTCTGGCTTGGGGCTTTGGCAGCCTGGGAGTTACCATTTCATAAAGATGTCATTGCTCTCGTAAGTGATGGTTCTTATTATTTTTTTGTTATTGTGTTTCTCATAACATTATTCATCAACGCCAGGTCCCCAGCGAGGACTCAATTGTGACGGATTTGGTCTAAATTCAGCAACGACACAGAACGAACGACGCCCAGAACACCCTGGTGCATACACGTGCAGCGCGCTGATTTATGATGTTTTTAAGTCATAGTGTATACTTGCGTGCCTATGGGTCTGCACGTATGCACATATGAGCAAGTTTCGTGCTTCTACAGCTGTAGCTCTGTGGAGGAGACTCAACAACGATGCTACTGGGCGGCTGGCAGTAGTGGCCGCCCTCCAGCAACAGCAAGAGACAGCGGAGCGACGTTCACTTAATAAGCAACACACCCGCCTGACAAAACTCATCAAGTTCGAATCGAGAGCGGTGCAGTCGTTGCGTCTGCTGGTCACGCGAATGTCAATCCACAACAACTCGGTGTTGACTTGTCGGCAAGCCTTCACCGCTCCACGTGGCTTCGGAGCGAGCCACGTGAAAAACTGGGGATCTCAGCGATGCAACTGCAAGTTGTAGGGTGGGTCCCGTTCACCGCTGAATCCCGGACCGCGCAAGCGGTTGGCGTTCATTTTATTTAAAAAGGCATAGTGCCGCTGTTTTTAAAGACATTGTACTCACCGCTGAGAACTGTAGCGACACGACCGCACCCTACGATAGCTGGCGGCAAACTGTGCCACATGCCCTCCCGCATGGCCTTGCGGGCGCCTCGGTATTGATAAAAGCTATTTTATGTATACATAGGTGTTTGCTTATTTAAGTGAATGTCGCTCCACTGTCACTTGTTTGATGCTGATGATGTACTCGTACGTCATTGGAACAGAAAAGGGTTCAACTACACCTTCATTAAGACCTGAACGAGAAAATGATTCATTGCACACATAATAGAAGGACTGGTACGAATTCATTGACAGAACTAACAAAAATAACAATTGCAACCGACTTGCACGAGCGTTGTTGAGAGTACGCGAGCGCCAGAGGTCGCAACCGGGTACCCGATACCCGTACCCTACCCGATACCCGGCTACCCGTACCCCGCCGGGTACGGGTACGGGTACCCGTTTGCGACCCTGGTGCGGCCGGGTACAGGTAAGGAATCAAAACCCGTTTGCGACCTCTGGCGAGCGCTCACCCCGGCCAGCAGCAGCACCGCCTGGTTCTCGAGCAGCGTCACGCGGCTCGCCAGGTTCTCCCACTCGCTGCGGTCCACCAGGATTGAGCCCTGCATGGCGAAGCTCAGCGCTGCCACGTTGGCGCACGTCTTGGCGTACTGCGCTTGCAGTTGCAACACCGTCGCTCGCAGCTCCGACATCTGTCGGGGGGGCAGTGTCGTCGATCGTGGTGGGGGCAGAATTGGTGGATTGCAAGCTGGCGTAACAATGTGAAAGTGCTGTAGCTTTTTAGTTAGTTTATTGTCCATCCCCGCATCTCTGATTAGCACAGTTGGCTATGCACATTGCAAAAGAAGTTCAACTTACATACGTATTTATGTTGTAAGTTGAACTACATACATATGCATGTTGAACTTCTTTCGCCCCAGGGAATTAAATGGGGCTCCCTTCCCAGTTTCCCCTCTCTTCGTATCCTGGCACCTAGGCCCCTCTGGACCCTGGACCCCTCTTGAAACTGCATCTCCCAACACACTCGATTGCTACACCACTGCTTGGTCGATTCACAGCGATGAGGTCAAAATTAGTGCCATTCAAAGGAGGACAAACAGGCAAGACCAACAAGGTGACAAGGGTGGCTCAGAGTTTCCGAGCACGGCACCTCTTGAGTTGAATTCAAATTTGGGTAGCCACCCGTGATTAAACCAGGCTCTCAAGTGTAGTGAATGATGGTCTTAATCTAGTCACCACTGATTGCACAAATGACCCATGACCATAAATGTATGTTGAACTTATTTCGCACCGTACGTATCAAAACGTAAATGTGGTTTTCCACTTAACGTGGCTAAAATCCAGCTATGAGAATTAAAAACAGTCCGTGATAGCCTAGATTTGTACCTACAAGATATATTCGGTCGTTTTTCTTCATCTTTCTTTAACGACAATGCACATTTAAAAAAAACTCAATCCCGGCCTGATATAAATTTGCGGGATCCTAAGATTCACTATCTGCGGCCTTGCATTGGCTCTGCTTACCTCCTGCAATAGCTGGTGATTAGTTGCATTGGTATCATCTTTCTTTCCTTCTGGACTGCTTTGTGGGGCATGGCTTGGCAACTCAAGCAAAACTTCTGCTTCTGGAAGAACCCCCTATAAAACAAAAACAAGAATTGCATTACTCATTAGATCGTGTTAAAAACGGTGTAGAGCAGTGGCATAGTTGCCACACAGATACGGTGACATTTAACACGCTGTAAACAAAAAAAGGCATGTCAATACAATGCTGGATGAAGGACTTATAACGTGCCGTTCATGGGCATTGTTTGACCGTACTTGACTAGGCCGGTCAGTGGGAGTTGATGAAGGGGAGCCGGGTGCACGTGCAGAACCACGCCTGACGTTAAAAACGGTTGGCACACAAACTCAGCTCGCAAAGTTCACAGCGTAGTGCGCCAATCTCTGCACCACCGCTCCCCCAATTGTACATATAACTGGGGAGGGGGGGAAGCTAAAACGACCAAAAGGACTTGAAAAAAAGAACACATCGGCTCACATTACCTGGCGCGGCGTGGGACACGAGCCCCGGGCCGCCTCCCCGTGCGGCCCACAATGCCTCTGCACCAGTGGCCTTGGCACATTTCCATTTCCTGCGCCCGCCACAACCAGGCCCTGCGGATTACACACGCGACATGCTAACGCCATTCGTGCGGCAAGCAGCGCCGCCACGCACAAGGTGGCCTCTCCTCAAGGGACCATTTCTCCTTGACGCGAAACATCACGGCTAATGAGATGCCTCGGTACCGTGCGGACCGTCACCTCTGGCCCTTCGGTTTTGCTCTCGGGTTTAGCCTGGAGTTTGTGCTCACTAAATGTTATGGCTATGATGACCGCGAGCGCACTGGCCAGCTGTAATTGCTCAGTGGTGAGCTACGCCAAGTGGCTTAATTACACTTTTTTTTTTCTTCTGAAATTAAGCTTCAGCACGACTCCCGTGCACGCACTTGTAAAACCTGACATTTCGCAGAGGTCAAACTTTTCAACAGCGCGTAGCAAGGGAGACTGTCTGCGTGCTGACTTAAAACAAAAGTCAGGGTAAAATAAGTGAACAAAAACAGATTAACCTTTAAACTCCAGTAAGTTTAACTCGGAACAATATTTTTGTAAAGAAATAAGTTGCGTATAAACATCTTGAGGTATGTTATTGAGCCGATATTTTTTTTAACTTCACTGATGAAGTGGCCCACATATAATTTTAATAGAATTCTTTAACCGTTTCACGTCTCTGTGCATTCACAGCAACAACGCTCGAAGCCCGGATATATTGGACCGATATAAATACGGAGTGGAAACTTATTTTATTTTTACGAATTCACCCACAATAAATACATTTTAAATCAAATTTAAGTAAAGTGTTTTTGAGATTGCATATGAATAACTCAGACCAGTCTTCAGCACAGCTACATTTTTTTTACATTGCTTATTCTCGTTTTGCTGCATATATTGTCTATACAGTACTGGATTATTTTTGCACGTTGTATTTGGTCTACGATCCCTTCCGTATTTTGCAATCATCTCAAAAACCCTTTTTGCTCTGGCGCCTTGAGATGTACTGCATGGGAGGTGCATTTTATAAATAATAAATGATGATGACGACGATGAGTGAGCCGTGCGTCCCCACCAGAGACTGCGGGTGATTGAACAACGGCTCGCACGGAGCACGATGGGGTCGCTGGGGAGGCGGCTGGCCGTCCACAGCCTCCGCCGCCAGTGAGCCTGCGGTCGCTGCTGGCTTTCGGGCGGAGGGAGTGCACTTCTGCGAGCACAGCGAGACACGGCGAAGCGTTCAGACGCCGCCAGCAGTGGTGGCCAGCTGACGAAAGCGTAAACACGAGAACCACTAAAGCGCGCTGAATTGTCGCCAGGATTAAAGATTACAATCCTCTGCCAATCTGCTGCGAGATGAAGACCTCCCCCCCACACCATTTCAGTCATGCGGGTTGTTTGGACCGTACGGACCAGTGCGGGTTTACGAGTGGTTCGGATACCGCTTGCCACCTACGCTTGCCGTAACCAGAAATCGATGTCACGTCGCTGGGTTAACAAAGCAGTGCGTTAACTACTATGCCGTCGCTCTACCCCGCGTTTTGTGAAGTCAAACATAATACGAACGAGTTAACAAGGCGGGCATTTTACACATAGTACGCCTTGTCAACCTTCCCCCAAGCACTTCCCTAACGGTCCAGACATTCCTTTTCGACCAACATACTTAAATAATGCATACATCAGATAATTAACATGATGGTCAAGCCAATAGTTCAAGTCTCGGGGCTCAAATTTAGTCAAATTATTCGCATGAACCAAATTAAATGTGATGGGTTTTTTTGTGTGGCAAGTGCAGCGACCCAGCTGACACCATCAACTCGTTACATTTGACAATCTGGTTTATTCACAGGCGCCTATCTGAATGAAAAACCGGGGATCTCAGCGATGCCAATTGTCGGCACTCTTTTGAGCCACCCAGGAACCTCGTGGGCGGACACAGGTTTAAAAAGGCGTCGACGATTGCTTCCGCTAGAAGGCGCTGCAGGGCTGCCGTGCGCCAGAGGTCGCAACCGGGTACCCGATACCCGTACCCTACCCGATACCCGGCTACCCGTACCCGGCCGGGTACGGGTACACGTTTGCGACCCTGGTGCGGCCGGGTACGGGTACGGGTAGGCCGTGAGTCACTGGTGAGTAACCATTTGTCACTCATTTCCCAACGTCTTGTCTCTTCTCACAATTCAAATTCCTAGAATCAACTCACCCGCGCCTACAACATGGCTTCATCCCAGAGGTCGCAATTGGGTACCCGTACCCTACCCGATACCCGGCCGGGTACAGGTAGCCGGGTATCGGGTAGGTTACGGGTACCCGTTTGCGACCCTGGTGCGGCCGGGTACGGGTAAGGAATCAAAACCCGTTTGCGACCTCTGCCGTGCGCTCACCTTGTGGGCGAGCTGTGTCAGCTCCTTGTGCTTGGTTCGCACGGCCTGCCCGATGTCACACAGCATCTGCATCTTGCGCTCGGCGAAGCCCAGCTGCAGGAACTGTGCCTTAGTGAGCACGGGCCGCACCTCGAACCTGTCCCTGAGCACCTACGTCATGCCACGAGAGCGACAGCAGCATCCGCGTCGGCAAACGTCAAAACGCACAAACGGGTAAAATAAAAAACCACAAAGACTCCGCATGTCTTTGATCCAAACGGATATATAATCTTTCGACTGGCATCTGTAGAACCTCTGAGTAACATTATTTGGGAAAATCATTGATCTATGAGGAGCTCTGGTCACCTCTTATTACATCCCAACTGACCTCGTGATCTTAGGGATCCCCAATGCTGTTTAATGTTTCTCTATAATTCAATTCTCTCCTGCTTCCTCTATTTCATGTTATGTTTAAACTCATCCCCCATCCACCCACCCCTACATCCGTTCCAAGTTTCTGGAAGAAACTTGGTTGATTTTATATTGATGCGCTGTGTTCAGTGCTTTTTTCTTTTATCAGAGAATAAAATTAAATTTACAAAAATAATTCGGGGATGCACATCTTCCCTTTTGGGATGTGACCGGAAGAGTATGGGAGTTTACAAATTGATGACTACCATATTATGGCATTCATTCACGTTATCTGTTTTTGTTTATTACATGTGTTTTGCGACCCCCTTGACTCTCTACTCTAGATTACGTCTGAAGCTAACGTGAAATACACCATCGTGCCATTTCAATGCAATGCCCACCCTGTGATGCCCTGGAATCATGACCCTTTCTACTTTTTTCTGAGCATTGTGCCAGAATGCTTTCTCACGAACACATTTCGATAAATATATTTTCAATAAACACCCATACGTTTCCACTCGAGATAATTATTACTATTATGCTGGTTCTACGGTGCTCATTTTATTGTTTAACTTAAACCTGAACGTTGTAATGTATGCACATAAATCGGAATAGCCCTGTTGTATTCCCAGGTAGATTTCGTACGGAATTTGGTTCTTAAGTGGTTAATGTAGTTGCTCCAATGTTTTGGAACAAACTGGTGGTGTCTTCTCTGGGGATCGCCACTTTGCCATCACTTTACTCTTTTAAACAGACATAATTGAGGCCGAAACAATACAAATGTGTGTAATTGTTTCATAAGATCGTTTGGTTATATTTACTTCACGCTTTTTTTTTCTTGGTTCTTTCGGTAAAGTCACGTAGAAGGGACGGCTGCTTGCGTTGTGGCCGAAACGTCGTGAGAATTATTTTATTATGTTTTATTTTTATTATTTTATTACTTCCCTTCTACGTGACTTTACCGAAAGAACCAAGAAGATGAATCCCTGCAGTCACGAACGCTTTAAATCGAAATTTACTTCACACTTTTAATATTTTATATCTTGTTTATTATAAACTCTTGCTGCCGTGTCTGTCTGCTGGCCGAGTCACCCTTAAAAAAGAGCTGCATAGCTCAATGGGTTATTTACTTGGATAATAAACTTCTGATTCTGGGTGCAAAGCACGTACGTAAGTTGAACTTCTTTCGCGCCGTACGTAGCCAACCGTGCTAATCGGGAGGTGCGGAACAGACGCATTGGCGCAAGCGTCACACTCGCACGCCACACATCAACGCGTCACTGGCGGAAACATACAAACGTCATTTCGACAGCGTGGCACACGGCAGAACAATCAGCAGAGCTCAACCAGTATTGAGAAAATCCAGCGGTTATGCATCTTTACGGAATTAAGACATGAATACTCCCAAACCCCACAGAAATATCAGAAACTACATTTATCCCCAAGGGATCTGCCGATGCAGGTGTACATGGCTGCTTCCCCTTGTACGGTCATAGATTACTTACATTGACGTCTGCATGAAACCAGATTCTCTTTCTTTGGGTAGCAAGCTCTCTGCATCACGACTTTGCACGTTTAGCACAAGAACGTCAAAGCAATTAACCACAACAACTTCATTAATGCAGGAGTACAATGCAAACGCCACTAAGAAGCATTGTTAATGTAATCACGGTTGCTGACTTAACCAAATGTGTCATAAACTTACCATAATGGGGTGAATAGAGTGCAGAATTTAAAAAAAGTTTTCCCCCCCTAACTGAAACAAAACATCATCAGCCATGACCATTCCACTGCTGGATTAAGGCCTTCCCAAGCCATCGATCAAGGTCCTGGGATTTAACAATTCATCCTGCACCTGCAGGTGAACTTATTTGATCGCTCCATCGTATCATATAGTCTCCTCTCGTCTTCTCTAGTCATCATGACTTATATAATAATCCAGTGGCACCCAATTTACGTAACGTTATTAGGGTAAAATAGCCTCACATAGAGACCCATCGCGCGCTTTCAAGTGCGCTTCTGCGGCCATCTGGAACGCTCTTCCTTCCGATATTAGGAAGCCACTGGAGCTATGCACTTTTAAATCTCGATTGAAAACTCATTTCTTGAGAACTGCTTTTTGTGTTTAGTTTGTTATCCTTCCCCTGCACCTCCGATTAGCACGGTTGGCTACGTACGGTGCGAAAGAAGTTCAACATTCAAATTTACACGACGCCGCATCACTGTGGGTTTGTGATCTGGTGCCCAATTAAGGTACTGTCTCACACACGGGGAAGTACCGATTGCTCGCGTAAAAATCATCATAACGTTCACAGCTTAGCAGGGGTCAACGCGCGAATCATCGGCACGCGGCTTGCGAATTCGCACGGCACACGGGCGAAAGTGACAAAACCTTCAAACAGTATTTAAAGCCGCTTCCACTTACGACAGTGCGTGCTGCATGGCGTGTGCCGTACAAAAACGATCCCTTCTGCAATCTCTGATTGCGGTTTTTTTACTTCCCCTCCCACGTGGTTTTAATTTGAATTTGTCATTGCCATGCAGGGTTGCATGACTAATGGTCGCAGTCCTGCGCTCCACTTTGCAGCCAGGCTCATTACCCACAATTTGTTTCCCTTCCCATTAAATGCCTCGTTACTCCGCTCAGGGAAAAAAAAAAAAAAAAATCGGCTCAGACTGCATCGCCGGCGACTGCCGCTGCTAAACGCCGTGTCGCGGCTGAGGGACGTTTTGGCGAGTTGCCGTTTTCTTGTTTTAAAACTTTTTGCCGATTTTTTCCACCACAACCGCCACGGTGGCTCTCCCACTGCCTTTCTCCTCCCCTCGCTCGCTCCCTGCAGTTTGAGGCTCTGATTCATTACAGAGACTAAAGCTTCTGATCTTGGCAATTTTGACAATAGTATTTCCTGCAGCAATCGTGGCATTTGCAGCAAAGCGAAGAGACATTTATTCGGGACAACAGGCTACAGGTAGGCATAGGCAGGCCTTATTCATTATAATGGCACAAGATGTCTTACCCTGCTTGCTCCACATCACGTTTGACAGCAGTGGTTCCCAACCTTTTTGGACCCGCAGACCACCATGCAGTAAAACAAAATGCAGCGTTTTGTGAAAAAATGGACTACCAGCAGCACACGAACTACAGGTTGGGAACCTGCAGCACATTCCCGCATGTCCGTGAATTCCAATGCCGTTCGTTTACAATAACGCAGACATTTCGAATAACGCTTAAATACAATTTATGAAACCTATACTCGGGAGAAGCTTTAGCACTGCTATCGGTTTCGAAATTAATAGAAAAATATGTTGCTTTCAGGATTAATTTGTAATTAATACCATTCTCATTACTTAGAAAAATTTAATATTTATAAAAGTCACATTCAGAGCTAAAAATGCCTGGCTTAGGACAAGTGAGATTTTGCTGTAGACGACCTTAAAGATTATTTAAAATTGCAGTACCTATTATCAATAATGCTGTTCTCGTGTAATATCCATTTAAAGGCCCACTTTCCAAATGACCTTTTTTTCCAAAGCCGTGCTATATATACGGTCTTAAAGTACTGTAATGAAGGCCTGCAGGACCGCAGCACAGGCAAATAATCTACACGGGCTCGTAGCGTTGACCGCCCCCGCCTAACCTAACTGCCATAATGAGGGCGTGACCCCGGTGCCAAACAGCCCGCAATTACACAAAGTCGGTGGGGGAAACGTCAAATACAATTTCTGCCAAACGGAATGACAAATCTCCACAGCCTCTTCTCAGCTCCCCCCTCCTTTCCTCCTCCTCCTCGCCCCCCCCCCCCCCGCCGCCTTTCTCGCAACCCGGGGACAGTGCTGCTCGAAAACAACCGGTCCATTTCAGCAGCGCAATTTTGGGCAAAGCTCAAACGCGGCACGATCCATTTAGCGACGCCGTTGCTTTTTTCTCCGCGGGAACTCTATCACGGTCTTACGAGCGGCACGCACCGAGTTTCGTGAACGAAGAGGTGCGCGGTGCGAGAGGTTCGCGTCAGTGTCTCGCGCACGGGCAGACGAGCGCCCAGGATTATTTTTACCGCGTCTTAACGAAGGGCCCAGCTGTTGTGTTCGTCTTCGATAAAAATGACTTCTCGGCACTTTGAAATTAACCCGTGCAGCTTGTGCGTAAATTATACATCTGTGCAGTTACGTATGATTTACCATATTTTGGGAAAATGTTGTCACAAAATTTGCTACTGTACTAATGATTGGTAATAATGATATGGTATATACACTTTGCAGTTATATTCATTATTAGTTGTACAACAGTAATTTTTCTATACATTTAAGTACTGGACCAATAGCACCATCCCAAAATATGGCATGGTAACAGTGGTCTTCCCAACATTTACCGTAACGGCAGCAATATTAAATTCCATGATAAATGTTACTATAAATACAAACACTGCAACTTAATACTGTGCCAGTAACTTGAATTGCATTGAACATGATTGTAAAATGTTGTCAACTAATTTCTAAAATAATAGCGCTGTGATCAAAATTGCCGTTTATTATTTCTAAGAGGCAATTTCATTTCACCCAACAGCCATCTGCAAAAAAATGTATTTTGGTATATTGTCATGACTAGAATCTTCAGGCGCAGAGCCACACAATCCACGTCCAGAAAAAGACCTAAGGAAAATCAAAAGAAACGCGAGTCGGTACAAGAAGGACGTCACCGACGCAGAACAGGCGACATGCAGACAGCCATCTCAAGACCCAGCCAGAGCCCAGTGCAGATGGAAGGATGATATGCTCCGCATGCAGACAGAAAAACACAATGAGACCCAAGCACAGAAACACACAGACACCGACAGAAAGACAAACACGGAGATGGACACAGGGACCGACAAGCATGGACAGAGACAAAGAGCAAGGCAACTACGGAGAGAGAAAATTCAACAGACACAGAGATGAGAGAAGTAATGCAATGATTCACCTCCCTAGAGATTTGATTAATTTTCATAATTCAGGGTCATGATTTGATTCAACAATCAATTATTTTTGTCTCATGTTTTTAAAACTCATTTGTATCGTTTATTATTTGTTCTATGTTCATTCTCAGGCATATGATTTATGTCTAATAGCGAGAAGGGGAGAATCAAAAAGACATACAAACATAGAGGCAAACAAAACGAGAAGGAGACAGACACAGAGAGAGAGATTACAGGGAAAGACATATGAAAATAAACAAAGAGAAACAGAAAAAGACATCAGGTGAGACAGACACCGACAGACATGCTCGGTGGACTTTAAGGCCACGTGAAATGTCGAAGGCCCGCTGGCAGGAGGTTACGAAACAGGCCCAGGTGCCATGAATCGACTGACTGAGATGACTGGCAGATGCATCAACCGTGCTCCCCTACTGTGCCAACTTTCTGCGTTTTTATCCGCCCGGCGTTCTGCTTGGAGGACACGCAGAGAAAGAAGCGAACGACGCCTTGTGTACGTTCGCACGCTGCAATCGCGTAGGTGGACGCAGTGCAGAGTGCACGATCTCAGGTGGACCTTGGCTCTCGGCTCCGGGCCCTACCCACCCTGTAGACGGCTTCCACGAAGCGCAGGTCGCTCTTGGCTGCGAGTTCCACGCCCCACTCAGCTAGACACTCGGCGACGGGGAGAGAGTATTCTGTGAACGTGTGGTGCAGCAGCGGCAGCAGCGCCTTGGCGTCACCGGTGAGGAGCCTGCACGCAGCGGCAAAGCGTACCGGCAAACGCAGCGTGAAAAAAATATACCACAAACGCACCGAGAACACAAACGCACAAATTAACTTACTGTGAACCGAGGCTTTGTCTCAGCCAGGTTTGTCCGAGTCGGCGACCGACAGAAAAGGCTCCTGGACTCGGCACACCACATCCAGTACACCTCTCACTTTGGGTGTGGGCAGCTATTCACATGCCGCCTACTCCAATCTACCAGCGACCGAGAAAATAATCGGTGAGAAATCGTGCCCTATTGCGTACACACCATGAGGGACGGAACACAATAAACTGCCCTGCTCTGCAACATTAACAATAATAAGTCCGATTTATAATACACGCAAACTTCATGCAGTGAGTCACAACACAAGTCAGGAGCGTGATACTGTGTTCTGTTGTGTTTTTGTAATTTGTGTAAAAAACAACCGAAATAAAAACTCAAGGATTATTTTTATCTTGTAGATATGTACCCAATCTGAACACAGATGTGTATCCATCCGAAACGTCGTGATTTATTATTTTATTTCCATACTTATTTCTAGTATTTTTTTTACCTACGTGACTTTACCGAAAAAACCTAAGAGTATGTGCGCCATAGGCTGTCTAACATGATTGTTTGAAGATTGTTAATCTGGTAATTTGATAGCAAAGAATATGAAATCACAATGTCACATTGGTGATGTAACTATAGTGAATTTATATAAATAAAAGCGGGAGTGATGCCACTTTGACAAATACAATGTGTATCACCGGCACTTTACATCATTTACCTCGTGAACAAAGCTTCATACTTGTGTCAGGGCAACCAGGAATGCACAGATTAGAGACTTATCTACAGATAAGACATTTTTGGGGGGGGGGGGGGGGTTGTATCTGCCTTTAAACATTTACAATTCATTACCTTTAAATTCCATACATTTTTTGCTGAATTTCGATTGATAATTGTTAGATTACATTTTTTTTAAGTAGAATTTTCTTAAACATTATTTACATAAACACTTGGGCAACGGTCAGCAATATTATACCGACATCAATATTAACACTGACTTATAAAATATCTGCAGTAAAATAATACGGGCAATAGCCCTCCATTACTCAGAGCACAGACATTAATAACACACACACCAAACTCAAATAACAATATGATGTGTCATCTAACGGCTCGGATGTATGGACCTTTCCGTCCAGCATGCCACGGGCCAGTGTTTACTCAAAAAGTCAATCCCTAGCTCTCATTCCTGACATCGAATCTATCGTCACTCTGCCAGAGGGCCCAACAGAGGAGATAAGGCAGCATGGAGGCTCAGGCAGGGCCCGGGTTTGGAAGGACGGCAGGGTGGGGGGCGATGCAGCTGCCCTGCGTTCCGCCGCTCAAAACAACCGCTAAAGAAAACCAAACTCTCGCCCGTGCTCACCCCTCGTAGTCCACCTCGTGTGGGTAGCGCAGCAGCCGGACTTCCATCTGCACGCGGCGCAGACTGCCCTTGATGTCGCCGGTCGTCATCGCTGGGCGGCAAAAGGCAGGCGCCAACGCACGCTCACATTTAGTTCACTCTTGAGCCGCGTAAATCACTTGAGAGCTGTGGAATGCACATGTATTAATTTTCTGCTGCCTCTTTGTTCTTTCTGAAAACCCTTGCCGATGTGTTTGGGACCCTTGCCGTCTGCCTCCTGTAAAACTTTTCAGATCCAATGTATATAAACCGTTGTCCAGACCTCTAATAGTGGCCATTCTGTTTACGGGCTGTGTGTAATATTTCTCAGAAAATTCACAGCACACATCTTTGAGATATTTTGGAGCTGCAATCGATGTGAAAAACCTTACCTCGAGCCAGCGCGCGTTTAACGTGTTGCGCTCGTTATTGAGACAATTTAGTGCAATACTGTACGAAAAAGGTATAATTTAGTACAATTGTAGTCCTATTTTAAACAAATCAATGCTGCAGGCGTTATAGCCTAAAATCCTTCAAATCATCCTGCTTGGATCCTTGTTATTGCAAATGTGATGATGGAGAGGGTGTTTTGTTTCAGACATCTCTACGCTAATGCGTGCTCTGACAATTTAACTGCTCTGATAATTTACAGGGGCACTTAAAACATATTCTCTGAAAGTTGCTGCGGTCAAATGCTACGCAGGAGGCATCTTTTGTGCTCCTAAAACCCACTGAAGCGCTTAACTGTTGCACTGTTGAGTCATTGTATATTTTGGACTGAATTCATCACAGCTTTTGCTGGAAGGGGAGCCCCACAGACTACAGCGCAAATCATCAGTGAAAATAACAAAGAGAGTATTTGGGATAATCCACTAACAAACCCATATTTCAAAAGATAAAAAAGTTATGATACAAATCTTCATATTTACATACATTCACATTTATTGACTGACTGCATTGTGTGATTCTCCAAACAAAAATAACCTGAGCACAACTTAGCTTGATAGATTGCCTTTAATAAAAACAAGGTAAAAGTGTGCTGAGATCAGAAATATATTTTTAAAGAAGATATGGGTAAAAAAAGATGTACATCTTGCAACAAACAGCTCTTCAAGTGCAAACTATGAACAACACAGACATTAAACATAGACTACAGGTATTATACAATAAAATAGAACACACAAATTGAAAGCAAGTATTCACATTCAGACAAAATAACACTAGATTATGGAGTAAATAAATACATACTCTTTGGTTCTTTCGGTAAAGTCACGTAGGTAGAAAAATAAAATAAAAAGTATGGATTCTTGCAGTCACGAAAGCTTCAAATAAAGATTAAATAAATAAAAGTAAAAATAACTACATTTATTTATTTTTAATACATGTTACATTAAAAAAAGTAAAAAATGTGATACAAGTTTATAACCTAAATATGAACTTTTTATTTATGAGGTAGCAGTTAAATACATGTAAAAATAATGTTACCTTTTCATGTATATTGTCTTCCCTGCTGACCATCTTATTAATGCTGCGTCCTGCCATCAATAAGCCTAAATTAATCATTTGCATAATCTGTGCATGAATTGGAGATAGAGTCATGCAAAATGATCATGAAAAAAAATCAGTTTTTAAATCGATGAATAACTACATTGTTGAGGTGTGTGCATGAGTTGACTTGATAAAATAGTAATCTGTTCAATATGCCAATGCAGATCTCGCAGTGAGAATAGCCTTGAGAGTCAGCCAGGCTTTCCTGACATAAAACATATACATGCACAGAATGATCTATTTAATTACTCCTATTGTTGCTTGAGTAAATATGTTAGTATAACAAATCAAAAGTAAAAAAAAGTATTTCATCGAAAAAAATTAACACACCCCCCCCCCTCGCTTTGTTTACACAACAAGATGTACTCACAACATAATCAATTCCAGTCACCCATTAGTTCAATTGTCTCATTATTACTACTATTATGGTCACTGTTCTTATGAACGGCATGCCTGGATACCTCTGCCAACCAACAGCAAGGATTGCCTATGTTCCCTTATGCACACAGCATTCGACAACCGTACAGCCCAGTGTTCTTCACCAATTTTCAGAACGGGGGGAGCCACTGTCACCGATAAGTCGTCGCCAGTGTAAGGGCCGCCACACCGCCAGTGCAAGGGTTGGTTTCACTACATTTGTGCATTGTCGGGGGCCCAGAAGCCGCAACCGGGTACCCGATACCCGTACCCTACCCGATACCTGGCTACCCGGCCGGGTACGGGTACCCATTTGCGACCCTGGTGCGGCTGGGTACGGGTAGGCCGTGAGTCACTGGTGAGTAACCGTTTGTCACTCATTTCGGGTAGGGTACGGGTACGGGTAGGGAACGGGTACCTGTACGCGGCCGGGTACGGGTACCCATTTGCGACCCTGGTGCGGCCGGGTACGGGTAAGGAATCAAAACCCGTTTGCGACCTCTGCGGGGGCCGCACTTAAGGCCACCAGGGGGCCGCCAGTTGCCCGCGGGCCTTGCAATGAAGATCACTGGTAGAGTGGGACACGACATTGGTCCTCTTCCTTCTTTCCTCACACTGCTCGACCGTGGAGCTCCCCTTCCCGTCACCTCATTCCCAAAGTTCCTCTAATCCTGAAATGTGTGTTTGGCTGCTTTGCGGCCTAGGCCTTTGGGTCTGTTCCATGGATCTTACTTTTTTTAAACGACCAGTTTTGGCTTTTCTGAGATATGAATACTGCTCGGTTACCAAATGTTATGGGCAATACGGACAACAAAGAAAAGGGGCCACACAAACAAGAAGGGCAGGTGGTGCATGAAGTATGAGACAGAGAGAGAGGCCGTCAAAAGGGCTGAGCACTATTTCCGGAAGTTGTCACATTTTGGTCATATGTCAGTCATAAGTTAGTCACGTGTGGTCACAACTTCGTTACATGTGAGCTGTCAATTAAGTCACATGCTGGTCGCCTTTTATTCATGTGGTGATTATAAATGAGCCGTAGACTGATTAAATGTTAGTCCCAATTGTGTTCCTTTTCAACGTTGGCGTTGATGGCGACCCACCTCGTCCACACCTTCGAAGCTAAGCAGAGTTGAGCCCTGGTTAGAAACTTTCGAAGAGACTGCGAGGTGACCACGAGATGGGAATGCAGCAACGGATTCTTGAATTAATCTGTGCGGACCTTTTGAGTGTTACCCCCTATCTGGTCCAACACCATGTGAGACTAGGCTCTCAAGAAAGCTGTCTCGGGTGTGGACCAATCAACTTCAAGGACAATGCATACATTATCAGAGTTCTGTTTTTTGTTTGCATTACGACTGCAGGTATTGTGGTCTATGCAAACATGACTCCTTGTAAAAAAGGTGTCATTTTGTTGCCAGATAGAAGGGTAAAAAAACAATTATCATATTTTGCTACTGGCAAATGAGGTTCCAATTGTGTAAATGCTTACCCCGAGCTCTCGTACTCTGATGGTGAATTGTCCTTGAGTTGTACGCCTTTTGGCGTCATCTGGTCCAACACCATGTGAGACCAGGCTCTAAGGAAAGCTGTCTCGGGTGTGGACCAATCAACTTCAAGGACAGTTCATACATCATCAGAGTTGTGTTTTGTTTGCATTATGACTGCAGGTATTGTGGTCTATGCAAACATGACTCCTTGTAAAAAAGGTGTCAGTCTTGTTGCCAGATAGAAGGGTAAAAAACAATTATCACGTGGTTATTGTTTGCAACACAGCGCCTGGACACAGCTACCGCGTCCCCCAACACCCCCCAAATAACGTCAAGGAGACGGTAACAAACAGCACTGTCGAGTTACTCTTAGGTTTTTTCGGTAAAGTCACGTAGGAAAAAAATAGATAATAGAAATATTAAATAATATTTTATTTAAATTATTATTTCTAATATTTTTTTGTATTTTTTTAAATGATTATTTTATTTCTATTATTATTTCTATTATTTGTATTATTTATTTTTATTATTTATTTTTCCCTACGTGACTTTACCGAAAAAAACCTAATAGTATGAATCCTTACAGTCACGAAAGCTTCAAATCTAGAAGCACTGTCGAGATCGCAGTACTGTGCTGCGTACTGCACGAGTGGTCGGCTGAATGGGCACAAGGTTATACGGTTACACCTGATGACGGAGGCTTGTGTTGGCTTTCAAAACGTTGTGATTTAATACATTTAATTTTTTTAACCTGCGTGACTTTACCGAAAAAACCAAAGAATCCTTGCTGTCACGAAAACTTCAAATCTAGAATTAGGTTATCAGAGGTTTAGGAAACGAGACGACGGGGGGAGGGGGAGAGTATAGACGGCAAAGAAACGTGTATGTCTTATTAATATAATTAAAACATCGTTATAAGAAACTTCAAATCTATAATAATCGTTATAAACTTCGCTCGACGCATCGTGCGTTACCACGGTAACCAGGCGGGACTGCCTCTCCCGCATCGCTGCATACATCGTAGCCAAGCGGGGCTGGGGAGCAGAACGCACCGTACCTCGAGTGCGGACGACGAAGACGACGCTGAGGAGGACGACACCGAGCCAAGAGGAGGACGATGAGGAGGGAGATTGAAGCGGCGGCGGCTGCGGCCTTCACTGCCGCCAATTCAAAGGTGGCGCCCGCGCGTACCGCCGCCCCCCAACAACAACAAGACCCCCTCCCATTGGTCAGTTTGACCGTGACGTCACCGCCAAACCTGCGTTCCCATTGGTCAATAGCCGTTCGCTCGCGTGGCCGTTGGAGCGAGTCGCGGGGTCGGTAAGGCGCGGAGTGGAGTACGCGATGACGGAGCCCGGAGTCGTCGTTGCGGTGACGAACGGAGCCGGAGTCTGCGGTGACCGCGACTACGGAGTGGAGTCCGCGATGACGGAGCCCGGAGTCGTCGTTTCGGTGACGAACGGAGCCGGAGTCTGCGGTGACCGCGACTACGGAGTGGAGTCCGCGACGACGGAGCCGGAGTCGTCGTTCGGGTCACCGCGAAGCGCTTTCTCAATTGAACGAAAATAATGGTTCGGGTCAAAATTTAAAATTGTATTTAAAACTTTCGTGGCATGCAGGAATTTATATTCGTGTCGCGATCGAAACGTCGTGATGTTTTAATTCACTTTATGTTTTATTATTCTTGGTTCTTTCGGTAAAGTCACGTAGAAGGGAAATAATAAAATAATATAAATATAAACAATAAAAAAATGTATTTGTATTATTTTATTGTTATTATTTTTCTATCAACGTGACTTTACCGAAATAACCATAGACTATGGTTCGGGTTCAGTTTAACGCGTTGTAATTAGAGGGCTTTCGCGACCAATATTTACTCGTAATGTGGCTTTTATGGGTTAGAATAATATAAACGCGTCGTTAAACCCTCCACCACCCGACACCGCCAATTAGTAATGGTTAGTCGCGTGAACTGCTGCTGTGTTCGCAGCGGGGCACAATTAATAACAAAACTTAACAAGTTCGTCAATAACACCGTGGCTGTTAAAGGATATGCACATGGCGACGTTTCAGGCAACATTTGTTATCATGTTACAGTGTATTATCCATTTTTTTTTATTATTAAAAACGATAGTCGAATATAAGTGTTAACATTTTTTTAAGCACCCTGTGTGTGTGTATACACATCATATAAATAATGTAATCACGCAATATTTTATTGCATCTAAATTCGTTTTTTTTTAAGTGGATTTGCAAAGGGACTGAACATTTACGGAATACATTTTTACTGCACATTGACAGCGATGTAAAAAAAAAGTCAAGATTGAAAACTAGTTTCTTTAGAGCTGCTTTTTATGTTGATAAACATAATACATATTCATCTTCTTGGTTCTTTCGGTAAAGTCACGTAGAAGGGAAGTAATAAAATAATAAAAATAAAACATAGTACAATAATTCTCACGACGTTTCGGCCACAACACAAGCAGCCGTCCTCAGGTGAAGACCTTTTAGACGCTGTCGCCTCGACAGACCTGGTCTTCACCTGAGGACGGCTGCTTGTGTTGTGGCCGAAACGTCGTGAGAATTATTTTATTATGTTTTATTTTAATTATTTTATTACTTCCCTTCTACGTGACTTTACCGAAAGAACCAAGAAGATTAATCCCTGCAGTCACGAAAGCTTTAAATCGAAATATAATAAATATTAATCAGATTCCACCAGATATTTAGTAAATCTAAATTACCATTGCTCAGATATTTAGTAAATATAAATCACTTTTCCTTTTAAAATCTATTTGGATTTACACTATTTTTTTAGGCTATATAACTCATCATTTGGCATGCTATTACTAAATCCAACACATTTTAACTGTTGCTTTTGTTACCATGTACTTATTTTTTTGTTAATTTATTCAATACTTTTTATTCAAAGTTGTAGTGCTTAAAATATATTCAATTATATCACGTGTCACTTTGTTTCCATACTTTTTAAAGTAACAATGGGTCACATTTTTTACAGTGTATAGTTCAATCTTGTTTGGAAGCTTTCGTGATTGCAATAATCTATACTTTCTGGTTCTTTCAGCAAAGTCACGTAAATATAAAAAAATATATAAAGAACGTAGATAGAAAAAATAATAAAAGAACACTGTTCTTTTATAATTTTTTCTATAATAATAAAAGAACACGTTTATTTTTTCTATAATAATAAAATAACACTTACTTAATTTTTTCTCTCTACGTGACTTTACCGAGAAAACCAGAGAGTATGTTTAGTTCGTTTATCCTTCCCCCGGCACCTCCGACTATGAGCACGGTTGACTACGTACGGTGCGAAAGAAGTTCAACATACGTGTTGACATATATGTTGAACTTGTTCAACATACGTATGTTAAACTTCTTCAAGAGGTGCAGGGGAAGGACACCAAACCGAGGGACCCATGTAAACATGCGATGGTGTTCCAAAGAAGGACTCTGAAGCTGATAAATTGCCACAAATATAATCGATCATTCGCACGGTCGGCCACGTACGGTGCGAAAGAAGTTCAGCGTACGATGTGGATTATCAATTAACAAAAAAAATCCCCAGCTCGCCCACCATGCAGTGGCTTGCGATGAGGAGGCTGGCACCTTCCAGTAGGTGGCAGAGGCTGACGGTCCTTCCTTTGCGTGTGAAGATTCGCTGATGGCAAAAAGCAAATCCACTGCCAGGCAGCTGCAGCGAGACACCCGGCACAGAGATAGGGGCACGGGGAGCGGTGGCGCAGTAGTTAGCACACTGCGCTCAGAATCAGACGCTTTTATTGAGACTGGAGGAATCCGATGAGCTATGAAGCTTTTTTTCCACAGATGTCCAGGAGGTGTGTATTGTGTGTGTACTGCTGTGTGTACTACTGTGTGTACTGCTGTGTGTACTGCTGTGTGCACTGTGTGTACTGTGTGTGCTGCTGTGTGTACTGTGTGTGTGCTGCTGTGTGTACTGTGTGTACTGTTGTGTGTACTACTGTGTGTACTGCTGTGTACTACTGTGTCTACTATGTCACTGTGTGTGTACTGTGTGTACTATTGTGTGTACTGCTGTGTGTACTGCTTGTGTGTACTGTGTGTACTACTGTGTGTACTGCTGTGTGTATACTGTGTGTGTACTACCGCATGCCTAAACAGCTTTTGTTCGGCCGGATCGAGGGGGCTAGACGGGCGCGGCACGGGCTGGAGAAGAGATGGAGTGATGTGGTACAGGAGGACGTGGAGCTGAGTGGACTTGCCGATGACTGGTACCAGCGGTGTCAAGATCGGCCTCAGTGGAGGAGGCTCGTGAAGGACGCTACTGGGCAGTTGGAGGCAGTCGCCCTCCAACAACAACGGAGGGCGGAGGAGCGACGCTCACAACAACGAGCGGAGCGCCGGGTGGCTAAAGCACAGCAAGTCGGCACAGTAGGGGGCACAGGTGGTGCATCAGCCAGTCATCTCGGTCATCTCGGTCAGTCGACCCGTGGCACCTGGGTCTGCCCCGTGACCTCCTGCCAGCGGGCTTTCGACACTTCACGTGGCCTCAAGGTGCACTTGGCCTGGCACAAGCATCGTGGTGACGTCACCGCCACTTAGTGGCGAATGGCGGTTGTTGTTGTTGTACTGTGTCACTGTGTGTGTACTGTGTGTACTGCTGAGCTTCTTTCGCGCCGCGCGTAGCCAACGGTGCTGAGCGGAGGTTTCGAGGCACAGCTACAAGAACAGGCAAGTCAATGGCCAGGCGGCTACCTGAGTTCGGTTCCACGTCTCGGCTCATATCAGTGGAGAGTGCTGCGTGAACCATTCCTGGTGCCTCTCTCGACCCCCCCCCCCCAACCTACACCACCCCAGGGTCCCTTCCTCCCAACTTCATTAACACGCGCTGATCAGAATGGCGAAGTAAAATCAAACAGCTCCCAATGAACGACAATGCGTGTGGTGGGTGGGGTAGTATATTTTAATTATAACCAGGACGCCATACCTGGCATCAGAGTAAATCGTCCGCACACCGCACGAGGTTGGCTTCTCCCAGATTATTGGCACCATCCTCACTCATCACGATCCGTCCACCGCTGGGATGAAGAAACTCACCCGGGGGGCATCGCCATGTCTCACGATCTTGCGTCGCAAGGATCAATAAAGCGCCTCGGTGCGGTCGGATTTCATCGCTCCATCTCCACGGCGGCGGTGGTGGTGGGAATTTTCTCCCGGGTGTGTTGCGTTCCTTGGCTGGCGCTGTGGTAATTCCCAACTTCGAAAGCAACGTGTCCCGCGACAGTCCGCGTACTATATGCCGTGAAGATGTCTCGAACTTGCGCGTGTTTTCTGATGGATCCGCGAGTTTCCACTTGTAGTATCACGGCGTAATCCCAAGCACGCCGCCTCCCCACGCTTCTTTGCACACTTTTCATCTTTTTAAATCCTTTATATTAAGTTCACTTGCTTGCTTGCTTGCGCACTTACGACCGTGCAAATCTTTCGGTCGTTTTTTAACCCACTTCCCGTGATCCAATCGAGCTGACATTTTGCACACAGACTCGTTGTGCGAGACAATTTATTTTCGTGAAAATTTTTTTCCAAAATTTTCAACATTTTAGGGAAATTTTTTTTAGATTTAATTATCAATTGCTTAATGGTGGCAGGCAATCATCTGAACCATAGGTGGCAGCCATCTCAAGCCAGAGGACGAGATGATTCTAGCCGCCCGTTTCAAAGACCAATGTGGGCTGGGTTGTGGCCCATTGAACACGCATATAAAGGATTTATAGTGAAAAACTTTGTTTTTACGGGTTAATTTTTGTTCCATTTCCTTAGTCAATGTCCCGTGTTCCTGCTCCACGTCACAACAGGTTACTTTGATTAAAAACGTCCTTCTGAAGGCACTGTGGTATGCTACTACTTTTCCCCTGTGCAATTTTCGACGACAAATCTTAAGTCTGGACATTAACTCGGAATGGGAACCCATCTCTGCTGCCATAACATTTAAGCTCTAGATTTTTTTTATTTAACGACACGTGGCTTGAATAGATACCGCCATATATAGCAGTTAGCACACTGCGCTATGAATCAGAACCGGAATCTTATTTAGACTGGAGGAATCCGACGAGCTATGAAGCTCTTTGTCAAAGTTGTCCAGTAGTGACGGGTCATAAAGTTACAACAACGAACAATAAAAAAAAACAGGCGGCAACTTCAGTTTGATACCGACGC